AGGTGCTCAGTTATTTGTCACAGACCAGGGAGAACATATATTTGTCCCTTTGGGACTTGCTTATTTCACTCAGCATGATGTTTTCCAGATTCTTCCATTTTGTTGCAAATGACCGGATTTCATTTTTTTTTACCACTGTGTAGTATTCCATAGAGTACATATCCCATAATTTCTTTATCCAGTCTTCTGTTGCAGGCATTTAGGTTGACTCCATTTCTTAGCCATAATGAGCTGAACTGCAAAAAACATTGAGGTGCAGATAGCTCTTTTATTTGCCTAATCACTATATTCCTAAAGTTGTACTTATCAATGCATGAAGTCTGTACTCTTTAAATAAAAGGTTTCTTTGGGGAAAACAAAAAAGAAGGTAGACTAAGTTAGCAATTAAAAAGTAAAAGAGGAGTGGTGGACATTGTGGTGTAGCGGGTCTGCTGCCTGGGATGCCCATATCCTATATTGGGGTGCTAGTCTGAGTTCCAGCTAATGCTCCCAGGATGAAGCAGACGATGGCTTAAGTATGTGAGTCCCTGCCACCATGTGGGAGTCCCAGATGGAGTTCCTAGCTGCTGGCTTCAGCCTGGCCCACCCACAGTTGCTGCAGCCATTTGGGAAATAAACCTGTAGACAGAAGGCCTCTCTCTCCATCACTTTGCCTTTCAATAAAATAAATAAAAAAGTGTATATAAAAAAACAAAAAATGGCAAGTCCCGATTGATATGAAGAAGGAAGTTAAGTCAATACAAGGAATCTTCAAGTGACTAGATAGTTAAGCCATTAATTCTGGTTGTTAGCACAAGATACTTTACTGACGACAAAATTGAGAACTAGGAAAAATTAAGTATCAGCCCAAATTACTGCCAGCATGTGTTGGGATAGAAGTGAGAACAAAGCTAATGCACTGCCTGCCTGCCTTTTTAAAAAGATTTATTTAACTGAAAGGCAGAGTTACATAGAGGCAGAGGCAGACAGAGAGAGGTAAGAGAGATCTTCCATCCAATGGTTCACTCCTCAAATGGCTGCAACAGCCGCGGCTGAGCCAGACTGAAGCCAGGAGCCAGAGCATTATCCAGGTCTCCCACATGGGTGTGGGGGCCCAGGCACTTGGGCCATCTTCTGCCTTCCCAGGTTCATTAGCAGGGAGCTGAATCAGAAGTGGGGCAGCTGGGCCTCAAACCAGTGTCCATATGGGATGCCAGCTCTGCAGGCAGCGGCTTTACCAGCTATGCCACAGTGCCAGCCCCAGTGCACTGCCTTTCTATCGCCTAAGTTTGACTTTTATTTTTCCTTCTGTTCATTCTTAGGTAGAAGTTAAACAAAGGAAAACATCTCCCTTATCACACTATAACACACTCTCTGGTTTATCTCCAATTTTATGCACACATACACTAATCTTAGCTGCACATGTGGCAAACTAGCAAACAGTTGGGTTCAATAAATGGATAATAATGCTTAGCTAAGATCAGGCAAAAGAAACAAGCAGGAAAATGAATGTTCAAGGAGATAATCAAAAAGGAGCAAAAAGAAGAAATGGCAAAATCCCCCTAGTCAATAAAAATTCTGCTTGAGGACTGCAATTAGTTCTACACTTCAAAAAGGGGGGAAGGATAGGCGTTTGGCTCAGTGGTTAAGATACAGCTTAGGATGCCCACATCCAATGCAGAGTGCCTGGGTTGAAATCTCAGCTCTACTCCTGATTCTAGCTTCCTGCTATTGTGCAACCTGGGAGGTAGCACGTGAGTCCTTTCACCTGAACTGAGGTTCTGGCTCCTGGCTTCAGACTGACCCACCTCCTGCTGTTTCAAGCATTTGGGAAGTCAATCAGCAGGTAAGAGATCTCTGTTTCTCTACCTTTGAAATATTTTTTTTTTTTTTAAAAAGGTGTATTTATTTATTTGAAAGGCAGAGTTACAGAAATGCAGAGGCAGAGAGAGGTCCTCCAACCACTGGTTCACTCCCCAAATGGCCAGGAGCTTCTTCTGGGTCTCCCGCGCAGGTACAGGAGCCCAAGCACTCAGGTCATCTTCCACTGCTTTCTCAGGCCACAGCAGAGTTGGATGGGAAGTCGAGCAGCCGGCACTCGAACTGGTGCCCATATGGGCAGCTTTACCCACTACACCACAGCGCTGGCCCCAGGCCTTCACTTTTAAAAGCATCACTCTTGAGGCTGAAGCAGAGAGAAAGAAGCCTTCTATCCACTGATTCACTCCCTAAATGGCTGCAATGGCCAGGGCTGGGCCAGACCGAGGCCAGAAGCTTCATCTGGGTCTCTCATGAGAGTACAGGGGCCCAAAAACTTGGCCTTCTTCTACTGCTTTTCCCAGGCCATCATCAGGAAGCTGGATTGGAGAGGAGCAGCTGAGACTTGAACTGGTGCCCAAATGGGATGCTCCTGCTGCAGGTAGCAGCTTAACCCACTATGCCATATGAACTGTTAAAAGGAATCATATGACAAATCATTTAGAAATAATCAATGTAAATCTTTCTAAAAAATTGTTTCTCATATCTAAACTTTGTTTAAAGTAAGATCAACCAATCAATCTATAAATAGTTACTCCATTGGGAGTAGCTTTGCAGTAAGATCTTAAGAGGATCTCAAGGAGCTATGGAGTGACAATCTTAACTGTAACTAGAACAGGTAACTGGGCCAGCATTGTGGCATTGTGGGTAAAACTGCTGCCCACGATGCTGGCATCCCATATGGGCACAGGTTTAAGTCCTGGCTGCTCCACTTCCAATCCAACTCCCTGCTAATGACCTGGGAAAAAGCAACAGAAGATGGCTCAAGTGCTTGGGTCCCTGTGTCCATGTCAGAGACCCAGATGAAGCTCCAGGCTCCTGGCTTCTGCTTGGCCCAGCTTAAGCCATTGCGGCCATTTGGGTAGTGACCCAGCAGATATAAGCTCTCTGTCTCTCATCCTCTCTCTGTAACTCTGCCTTTTAAATAAATAAACAAATATTTTTAAAAATTAAAAATAGGTAACTAATTAGTGTTACTTGGCAGTAGGAAGAAACCACCCCAAGCAGCCACTATCCTCGAAGGTAGCCCAGTCATCAGTACCTAAAAGTCTCTAAGGTGACTTACTCCTTTGCTTTAGGCAATTGTCTATCAACAACACTCTTTCGAGGGATACCAGGTCCCAAATGTGTCACAGTAAGTTTACCAGATTATTCTGTGACAGGAGAACCAGACAATACAAGCAAGAAGTACTAGGAAACTTGGTAGGAAGAAAACACAACAGTGAGATAGGATACAACAGGGGAGCGCTAATGTGGACTCCCCTGGGAAAGCTGGTTAACTAAGACCACCTGAAACCACCCCAACAAGACAGTGAGTCTTCAACAGCTTACAATCTTTCAAGACAGTACCAGACCATCTTATCACAGCAGATCTTAAGAGGTGATACAAGGCATCAGAAAAAGGAAATCTCTGGGACCTAACCTACCACACTAGTTGAATGACCTCAGACATTTCTTATCTTTTAGGTCTTAGTTTCTTTTAAGATTTATTTATTTTAAAAGTTAGAGATACAGGGGCTGGTGCTGTGGCACAGTAGGTTAACCCTCCTCCTGGGCGCCAGTTCTAGTAACAGCTGCTCCTTTTCCAATCCAGCTCTTTGCTATGGTCTGGGAAAACAGTGGAAGATGGCCCAAGTGCTTGGGCCGCTGTACCTGCGTGGGAGACCCGGAAGAAGATCCTGACTCCTGGCTTCAGACCAGTGCAGCTCCAGTTGCGGCCAACTGGGGAGTGAACCAGGGGATGGAAGACTTCTCTCTCAGTCTGCCTCTCCCTTCCCGCTCTTCCCCCTCTACCTGTAACTCTACCTCTCAAATAAATAAGTAAAATCTTAACCAAAAAAAAAAAGTTAGAGATACAGAGAGAGAGGGGATGACAGATCCTCTATCCGCTGGTTCACTCCCCAGATGGTCACAATAGCCAGGGCTGGACCAGGCCAGAGCCAGGAGCCAGGAGCTTCTTCCAGGTCTCCCATGTAGGTGACAGAAGCCCAAACCTTTGGGCCACCTTCCGATGCTTTTCCCAGGTCATTACCAGGGAGCTGGGTCAGAAGTGGAGCATCTGAGACATGAACCAGCATCCATACAGGATGCTGGCGTGGCAGGCAGCTTTACCCTAGGCCACATCACTGGTTCCACATATTAAGTTTCTTAGTTTAGAAATACCATAAGGTCTTAGAAAGTCTCTAGTGATACTTTGAAGTGTAAAAAGCTGTATGTTTTCCGTAAATCTCCCATTATACTTGTGCTAATTTCCGCAGCTGAGTTTACCTTCTAACTTTTCTCAATCTCCTTCCCAGCAGAATTCCTTAACTTCCTCTTCAAATCAAAATCCCCTTCCCCTAGTCTCGATGCCCGAGATCCCATCTTTCCCGACTCCTTCGGTCACTTCTGCCACTTGTATCCCGTTATTCCTGCCCATGGTCATTTTTGCCTTCTATGGGTTCTTCTCGTCCCAAACTGCCTTCCTTTGAGCTAATCTCTCTTCTCTTTCCCCAAAATTGAGCCCTCCTCCAGTCACGTTCCAAAGTCTTTTTCACCAAGATCTTGGGGAGGAAACGGGGGCTTTAAAGATACCAAAAAAGAGCTCTCCATGCACGTCGCGCCTGCAAAGCTGCCTCAGTGCTTGCCACAAGCAGCGCTGCTGGGGATGCTGGTCTCCACGACCTACCCGTATTCCCTGACGCCGCCTCACTACGCCCAAAGGCGCTGTCCCCGGATTAAATTTTTAAAAAAGGAGTGGGGCTTAACATTGTCCTATCTCATCTCCCACACAGCAGACTAGGATAACTCGCCTCTCAGTCTACTTGAAACACCACCTACCCAGAGCCCTGCTTTCGGGAAGAATCAAGGGCAGAGCAGCCCCGACTGTTAAGTTACGCGCCTTAACTTCAGCACAGCTCCCAGCCAGCACCCTCACCACCTCACAGCTGTATTGTCGCCACCGTGGGCACCCTCTTGATGACGCCGTCGCTGCCCCCACGTACCTCAGTGACCATCCCTGAAGCTACGAAGTGGCCCAACAGTAGCCCAGCGGCGTTTGGCTCCGGCGCCGGATCCCAGGGGTTGGCAGCAGCCATGGCTCCAACGCGCCTCCCGCGCCGGCGCTGAGAGAAAGCACTTCGTAGGGCGAACGCGCGGCGCCGCTCGATGACGTCACAGGGCGTTCCCGCCCGGGCGGAAGCCCCTGGAAAGCATCTTAGACAAGCTCGGGTCCCGGGTCTTCCCCTGCGGAGCAGTCCGGCTGCTGAGCTGAAGTAGGGGGCGAGTCCGGGGATCTCCGCTCCTCCAGAGGCTCCCAGAGGCGCCTGGCCTCCACAGAGCTGCAAAAGCGGCAGGGCTTGGTGGTCGGGGTGTCTGTGCTTCCCTTTCTTCCTTGCCAGTCTTGGGCTGCCCCCCAGGATCCAGGGATCGGCAGGAGGTGACAGCTGGGGGCAGGAGACCCAAACGGGAGGCTGACAGGGTGGCTGTATGCATGGACATACAGCCAGTGATAGCTGGTTTCCCTCCTGCACTTCCCTCCTGCAGGGACCTGAGCCTCGGCGGCGCCAGAATGGGAAACAGTGGCCTCCGCGCTCATGTGGAAACAGCGCAGAAAACTGGTGTCTTTCAGCTTAAGGACCGCGGGCTGACCGAGGTGAGACGGGTTGGGACCCGACCAGGGAACCAAGAGGGAGAGGGACGGCTGGGGCGGCGAAGCTAATCGGTAAGGGATTCTCCACGCCGTGAACTCCTTTCTGCAGTTCCCCTCGGACTTGCAGAAGCTGACGAGCAATCTCAGGACCATCGACTTGTCCAACAACAAGATCGAGAGCCTGCCTCCTCTGCTGATGGGGAAGTTCACCCTGCTGAAGAGCCTCTCCCTGAACAACAACAAACTGAGTATGACTTCTGCACCTGGGACGCTTTCGCTAGTGATCAGCCTTCACCAAGGGCGGTTTTCTCTTACAAGCTGATTTTTGTTACGAAACCATTCAGGGGGCTCAAGATGCAGAATGCCAGAGCCCTTGAAGCTTTCTACCTCCTGTATTTACACCTACAAGCCTCCTTGGGGGGCGTAGTGATTGTTACGGGGTTAATTTGGACTTGAACGGGAAGAACATCTTTGGGATGTGATGTAAACAGAGCTGCCTAATTTGAAGGGGGGAGGGTTGGAATGGAAAGGATTTCTCACAAAATTGCTGTCAGCTTTTGCCAAGGCCCCTTTACAAAAGGAGCCCGTTAGACACCTAAATGCTCTCCTGCAGTTTGATTGCATCCTCACCTGAAGACTGTTGGTAAAATGCAATATCTGAAAATGGCACATGTGGGAGTTCTACGCCTCCTAACAAGAGGCAAAGCAGGCTGCCCTATCTCTAATCCTTACAAATTCATCAGCTCAATCAGATTCAGGTCTTGAAAATTTTTTTTCTTTGCCAGCTGTTCTGCCTGATGAGTTATGCAATCTGAAAAAACTGGAGACGCTAAGCCTAAACAACAATCACCTGAAAGAGCTGCCCTCCACCTTTGGGCAACTCTCTGCCCTCAAGACCCTGAGCCTGTCCGGGAACCAGCTGGGAACACTACCACCCCAACTTTGTAGCCTTCGACACCTGGATGTAGTGGATCTCTCCAAGAACCAGATTCGGAGTATACCTGACATAGTGGGGGAACTGCAAGTCATCGAACTCAATCTCAACCAGAACCAGGTCTAGAGCTTAAGGCTTTTTTCTAGAGTATATACTTTGTGTTATGGTCCCTGATAGAGGCTAGCTGAGAGGTATATCCTATGGGCTGAACAAATTTCAAAGCCCAAAGGGCCATGGAGCTGGTTGGGACACTGAGTGTGTTCATTGTGTAGGCTGGTGTCAGGGGAGACTGGAATGGGTAACAGAGAATTTCAAAAGTCAAATCACTGTCTCTCAAATCCTGGAGTTCTCTACATACGCCTGTGTCCATTGAGCAAGGAGTTGTATGAGGGATATATTGGGGGGATGAGGCTTAGGTCTTGAGAGTGGGAGATTAGTGGTTACTTGATGGTTTTTGTGTAACATTTGTTAAATGTGTCCTGTTTGTGCGAAGAAACTTAAATGATAGGCTTTCTGGAGGTAGCTCATTTCATTGTTAGACAGCTTTAGTTGTATTTGAATTGTTTCTATTACTTTGGAAACTTTTTGGCTAATACTTACCTGTCTGGAGAAACAATCCTTGATCTAGGCCTAAGGCACCAATGATGAGACAGTGAACACTGAGATTGTGGCCTTTAGTTTTTCTACCATCTGTGCTTCTAGTTATGCAGAGTCCACCAGTACTGTTATTACTGTTCTAGACTGCAGTGACTTTACGTGTGATTCAGTCTTTGAGGAGACTGGCTTCATCCTTTCCTTAAAGTCGATATTGAATGTTCTTAAACATTTTTGGGGAAAAAAAAAATCTTGAATCAGCTAAGTAACAAATACTAGGACTTAACTGCATATTCACCTTACTCATGCCTAATCAATGGTTCTTTTTTTTTTTTTTTAAACTTTCTCCATAGGATTTTTTTTTAAAGATTTTTTATTTTTCATTTGAGAGGTAGAGTTATAGAGAGGGAGAGACAGAGAGGTCTTCCATCTGCTGGTTCACTCCCCAAATGGCAGCAATGGCCAGAGTTGGGCCAATCCGAAACCACAAGCCAGGAGCCTCCTCTGGGTCTCCCACGCTGGTGCAGGGGTCCAAGCACTTGGACCATCTTCTACTGCTTTTCCAGGCCATAGTAGATAGCTGGATGGGAAGAGGAGCAGCCGGGACAAGAACTGATGCCCATATGGAATGCTGGCAGAGCAGACGGAGGTTAGCCCACTGCGCCACAGCACAGTTAATGGTCTGAGTCTAATGTGCATGAGAATAATGAGAGTTTGTTTAAAGAGATCATTGGGCCCTCATCCTGTCTTTGCCTTAGCAGGTCTGGGATGAAGGCTGAGTATTTGCATTTCTAGCAAGTTCTCAGGTGATGGTCTGAGAGTCAATAGAATTTGGTAACTTGAAACAACTAAAGGGCAAAAGAGGTGCAAGAGTCAAAGACAATTTAGTTGGTTTTGAACTCAAGGACCTAAAAGAATGGAGGAGACTGAACATGCCCCAATTGAATATGATGAATCATACAGAATGGAAATGCTTTAGTGAAAGTTGAACACATAGGAATGGAGTAAAGATGAGTAGATGAGAATGTAGACCCAGATTTTGTGGTCATAACATAAATGATAGCTTCAAGAATGAATTAACTTTCCAGGAGAAAGTTTACAGAGAAGATCAAATGAAGTAGTAGGGATTGCTGCTTAAAGAGAAGCCAAATATCAAGAATAATTCAAAAGAAAGGAAGAAAACCAAGTACTTATACTAAGGGGGTTTCAAGGAAAGGATGAGTAATATACTCAAATGTAACAGGGAGTGATCCTTGACTTTGGCAGTGTAGTGGTCACCAGCTATAAAAACATTGGCAGTAACATATACCAAAGTGTGTATGGTGGTTAAATCTGGGTGAAGGGTTGCAAGTAGACTTTTCATTAACCTTGTGTGATTCTCAACATTTCCATAATGAACATACAGTGCTTTTATTGTCTGAAAATTTTGTTTCCACAAAGTAATTGGTGACCTTCAAAATGTTTTTAAATTCAGGGCCAGTGTTGTTGCATAGTAGGTTAAGTCTCTGCCTGCAATGCAGGCATCACATATGGGTGCCTGCTGGAGACCTAGCTGCTCCACTTTTTTTTTTTTTTTTTTAAGATTTATTTATTTATCTGAAAGAGTTACACTGAGAGGAGAGGGAGGAGGAGGGAGGGAGAGAGAGAGAGAGGGAGAGAGAGGGAGAGAGAGGGAGGGAGAGAGAGAGAGAGGGAGGGAGGTCTTCCATCTGCTGATTCATTCCCCAATTGGCCACAACGGCTGGAGCTATGCCAATCTGAAGCCAGGAGCTTCTTCCGGGTCTCCCACGTGGGTACAGGGGCTCAAAGGACTTGGGCCATCTTCCACTGCTTTCCCAGGCCAAAGCATAGAGCTGGATAGGTAGTGGAGCAGCCGGGACTCAAACTGGTGCCCATATGGGATGCTGGCACTGCAGGTGGAAGTGTTACCTGCTATGCCATGGCGCCAGCCCCATGCTCCACTTCTAATCTGGCTCTCTGCTAATGGCCTAGGAAAGCAGCAACAGATGACCCAAGTGGTTGGGCCCCTGCACCCATGTGGGAGACCTGGAAGAAGCTCCTGGCTTTGGCCTGGCCCAGCCCCCGTCATTGTAGCCATTTGGGGAGTGAAACAGTGGATTAAAGATCTGTTTCTCCTCTCTTTGTAACTCTGCCTTTCAAAAAATTTTAAAAACTGAACAAAAAAATTTTTAACTGGAGGAGTAATAACAGAAGCTATGCAACAGGCTTCTGTAGTGATTACAGTGAGAAAATGAAGGTAGTAAAAGAACTAGGACAAATAATCATGATTTTGTTTTGTTTTAATGTGGTAGCCATTATGATGCTCATGCTTTTTCCTATTATTCTTTTGCGTTGATGTTCAACAGATATCTCAGATCTCGGTAAGGATATCTTGCTGTCCACGTCTCAAAGTTCTTCGCCTGGAAGAGAATTGCCTTGAGCTCAGCATGCTTCCACAAAGCATCCTCAGTGATTCCCAGATCTGTCTGCTTGCTGTGGAAGGCAATCTTTTTGAAATAAAGAAACTTCGAGAACTGGAAGGCTACGATAAGGTATATATTAGTATATTGCTGCCATTTCTTTTCTTTTCTTTTTAAAGATTTATTTATTGAGAGGCAGAGTTAGAGAGGGGGAGACAGAGAAGTCTTCCATCCACTGGTTCATTCCCCAAATGGCCACAACAGCTGGAGCTGGGCTTTCCGAAGCCAGGAGCTTCTTCTGGGCCTACCACATAGGTGCAGGGACCCAAGTACTTGGGCCATGTTCCACTGCTTTCCTAGGCCATTAGGAGAGAGCTGGATCAGAAGAGGAGCAGCCAGGACATGAACCAGCACTCATATGGGATGCTGGCATCACAGGCGGAGGCTTCACCTACTATGCCAGTGCCAGCCCCATTGCTTCCATTTCTAGTCACAACCCCAGAGAAAACAGTGGCAAAATAATCCACATGAATGTTAG